CTTTTGTTATTTGGGTAGCTACACCTTACCCGGTTGACGCATCACGAATGAAGTGTCAGCTTGCATACAGAAGACTTGATTGGGATTTGCCAACTTGAGACATCTGTGGCGCGTTGCGACATCCGGCTGTCTTTGAAGGGTCGAGTATATGGTGCAGCAGTTTGGCCAGTTCTGCTCTACGGCGCAGAAACGTGGCCAATAATAAAACAGGAGAAAGATAGACTGTCGGTGTTTGAAAACCGCTGTCAATGCAGCATTGTATGAGTCTAGTGGGGTAACCGGACTAGCAATGCTGAGGTCAGGCGTAGAGTTTTAGGTAACCACGGTCGCCCACTAAAGCAAGTGATCGACCTCCATAGATTACGTTGATTGGGACATGTCATCAAATAGGTTGCCACGGCGAGCGATGTTTGCCGAGGCAGGTAGTGNAGGTAGTGGTTGGAAAATGGTCAAGGGTGGTCAAACGAAGATCCAACATGAGGGTATGAAAACTCTAACCAGGAGACTAGGTCACAGGTTCTTTTCGGTTCCGTGGATGGGGACCCCAAGATTTTGGTCACCGGTGGCTAGAGACACTGAGTGATATAGCTGGGTGTCACCAACGGTGGCGCTCGTGTATCCCGTCATTATTCTCCTAACACCTAACTCTATGTGAATTCTCCATCGTCCGCTTGAATTTGTTTTCAGCATTCTAATCTTCATTCTACTCTTTTATTCAAATGGTGCATCAAAAGGCAGCAAACAAAACTGGCGCATGGAAGTGCATGGTTAATGGTTGTAAAAACTGAACTGAACTGCTGGCTTTCCCTCTAAATTGGTTATAGAAGTATGCAAGAAAGAAAGCACACTCTGTAAGTGGCCGTACATAGGTCTAGCTCCGAGAAATACTGCATAACACTTTCCAGGAATTCTTGAGTGTGAAATGCAAGCATTACCCGGATAGTGTAGCAGAAAACCTTTGTTGCTTGCAATCTTATCACAACGGTTTACCTCTTCGGCTTATAAAGTTTGGTTACTTTGTTAAATCAGTGGGTTATTGAAGTTTTATAACGATACCGATCATGTCCTTTCAACGGGAGGCAGTTTACTACGCAAGTGTCAATATCATGTTTGTCTGTTTGCATCATTATCATTCCGAATCCCATGTTGCCAGTTGCCCTCAGCAACGAGTAATCCACAGAATTTCCAACCATTGTACTGTATCGCGTGAATAAAAAATATTTTATTTTGCTTGTTTCTTTCACAGCTTCAGCGTTGCAATTTTCTCGTCATCGTAATTACTACTAACTTTATTTTAATGCTGCCGGCTCCTTGGAAAGGATAAGCCGGCTCCATACATGATCATGATCAAGGTCATGGAGTTCCTTGAGAGTTTGGTGCGAGAGACGGTCCCAGTGTCACTCGGTATTTTTTATTTTAGGGGTGCACCTCTTAGCCTTTGTACAACCAAGTGCGAACTACAAGGTAGTAGGAAGTAATCTCCCGCCTCGGAGATGAGGGGGTCAATGACTTAAGTTTTAAAAGGCCAGTCACGTCGACCTTTGTTATGACACCGTCATTGGGCTTATGCGGCTTTTGAACAAGAGCCAGGTGACCAGGCTGAAACCCACCACACCCTTGTAGTGCCGCCGCTGTTTGTTCACGACTGCCTATTTGTTGCGGTATGTCACAACGTATTTACAGCTAAACTTCTTCGATGAAGGTATCCCCCTATCCATAACCCGGGGACGTGACTGTAGCATTCAGCTCTGCTTAACCCCCAAAGGTATCCAGGATCGTAATTAGGCGTAATAAGTATTGAACAGTTCCCTCATTTTTGCTGAGGAACATCGCACTAACCGGTTTTTGCGATGAGCAGCTTCGCTGTCCCTCAGCTGATCAGCAACTCTGGCCTGTTGGTGCCTTATGTGGTTCACCACTCGGATCCCCCAGGCTTGAGTTATCGTGACTAAACAGTATATCCTTATGGGCCCGGATTGTTATATATATATCACCGGCTTGCTAACCGGCATGGTGTCATGGGATGTACCTCATTTTAATCATGTAAACAGACGATTGTGGTTCATTTGAGCGAGGGTGAACAGGGGAATCGTGAACAACACCGACACGGAAGTGAGAAAACGAGTCGGTGAGCGAATAAATGTTTTCCGATATTGCCAGTCGTGCTCTTACATATTATTTAGTGGAAAAAAATAGTTACACAATGATAGCCATTGGCTTAATTTAAGGTCATCAATCGGAGGTAGAGAGTAGAGGATGTGTGTGTGCGTGTATCTGTGTATGTATCTGTGTATGTATGTATGTATGTATGTATGTATGTATGTGTAAGAATGTTTAGTGTGTTAGTTGGTGTGACCTTTCTCCACTTGGGTCAAGTGACACGTCATGTCCTGTCTTAGTTTTCACACCCGGCCAAGGTAACTGGTGTGCTTGAGCCAGTCTTTTTTGGGCACACAGATTAGGGCTGAGTGAACGAATGGCAATCGCCTCGGCCACAGCTAGTGTCCNTCAGGCCGCCCTCGATCGATTGATTGGGATCCGATAAACGACATGGAAAGCTTTCTCTGGTTCGATCTTGCACCCGGTGTCGACGAAATGACCAACGACCGCTTTTTCCCTGACTTAGCTACCGCGGGTGGTGCTCGTTAACGCGTTGAGACAAACGCCTTACCGTACGACCAATGTAGCGTGCACCTTAAAGAGTAAATTATCATGGATGAGGCCAGTCTTGACAGTTTGTCTTTCACCTGCATTCGCATCACCGGCGATGTAGAGAACATTGGTCTAAATGGAATTTACAGCCGCTCTCAGTGACTGTACTAGGCTCTCGATGTATGAGTCCCCCTTAAATGGGATCCTTATGAATAGTTCTTTCTTGGGGACATAAATGGAGTATTCCTTCTTCGGAGTGAGCCGACGGTTCTTATAGATGCACTTTTCCTGATAACCGTTGTCCTGCAGCGTTTGGCGGATGAACGGTAGTTCTTCATCCAGTATCTGCAGAAAAAATCTTCCAGGTTCTGAAGTCTAGACACCGGACTAAATTACGTTTATATTTCACTGGGACGAAACTATGAAATTTGGTATATTGGCCATTCCATGCTTTCTTTCTGTGCATCTGTCTTCTTACTGATCCATCTTCTTTCCTGGACACGG